GTCTCAGCAGCATAGTCCAGGACCAGGCTCTGCTGTGTAAGCCAGTGGCTTTCCACCTCAGCTATGTATTAGAATCACCTGGGAGCTACTATTAAATAAATACGCCAATGCCAGGCCACACCTCGGCCCCCAAAATCAAAACCTTTAGGGATGAGAGCCAGACGCTTTGTGAAGCTCCCCAGGTGATGCCATGATGTAGCCAAGACTGAGAATCACTGCTGTAGGTTGTCCTGGAGTCAGGACCAGCAGGTACCCCCTTTAGCGGCCAGCTGGGTCTGGTCCTGATTCTTGTTGAATGGGTTGTTTCCTAGTCACACAAGAGATGACTACACAGTGAGGGGCTAGGGCTGCCTAGAAAAAAGGAATTGGTCAGTGCTTTTAGGACATCAAGTTAAAAGGCAGTCTCACATTTATATTTCAAATGTAACAATGGTCCTTCCATTTTAAATGCTTTATTAAAATTAACCTCTATCTGCTACCTTTCGATCATCTAAGGCCTACAGGCTTCAACTACTTGAGGGACCAAACTATGTCATGCACAGTACTGTTTGCCTAGGGTGTGGAGTGGAAGGTGGGAGACCTCCACCCAGGCCCCGTAGAAGGGGTTTCTCTCTGAGATCCTCTGCCAGAATCAGGCCCTATACTCTGACACCACTTCATTCATTCCAATATTATTAGAACTGGCAGAGAATTAAGCTCATTTGAATACTGTTGGTCTTAGAAGAGAGACAAAGCTTGGTAAACACACTATAGTCCTCTAGGAATGAATAGGGTGACTAGGGTTTCCATGCTGCCACTTCAGAAGGAGGGACAAGAGCCCCGTTACTGGTGTACATGGGCTCCTACTTTCCTTCTGAGTAGTGGCCAAGGGAATAAACAGTGAGTCTGCACAGAAAGAAAGTCTTCTGTTAGCATCGATTCTGTAATTGGCTGGTAGCCACATCGATCACAGCTATAGATCTTGTTCTACCATTTGCTAGATCTGAACTCAGCAGGTAAGAATCAGATCAGACCTTGGGGAAATTAGAATTTTACATCAAACCAAAAATAGAGCTCACAGCCCTATTCCTGTACTCCTAGGGGCTTCCCCACTCTTCCTCTTAACCATCTGAGCTCTAGAAACACAGACAAACTGACAGTTACGTAGATTTTTTATTTATTTTTAGTAAGTCAGGAATTAATCAAGTTAGAGATTTTTTTTATTCCTTGATTTTATTCATTAGTCAATCTAAGGTGATATTGCTAATTGGGTAAATGATGTAAAAAAAATGAGGAACTTTATATGCTTATAATTACTACATTTAGAGACAAGCTTTTTTTTTTTGCTATATATTATGCCTGACTTGTTCACTCCAGGGCTTTTTATCGCAAGGCCAGCTCTACCAAAAGTTATGAAACAGACGAACTTTGTTGTCCATCTCCATTCATGTCCATCCTTCTTGTTGTAGATGCCTCCAAGGCTTTCTTTCCTGGCATTTTAACATTCAACATCAGTTATTAACTTTGCCTCCGTGGCTCTTAGGCATCTCTGAAAGGGGCTCATGGGCTGAACTTACGTGCCAAATTGTGTGTAAGTGTGTATTTTCACTGGGAAGAATCCAGAGGTTCCACTGGGTTTTGAAAGGTTTGGCAATCTGAAAATATAGACTAAATCAGCGTTGCTTATCTCTTCTTTCTCTATCTCAGAATTTACTTGTACCAAATACCAAGGCCATGAACGCTTTGATAATTTGATACATTGTTCTCTAATTACTCAATTTGCCTTTTAAAGGAGTTTTTTGAGGACAGACCCTTAACCCAAAGAAATGATTTCAATAACGAGAATATCAGGGATCAGGTAGTAACTCAGAGCACCCTTCAGATCACACCAGAAGGTGGCCTCAGATTCCACCCGTGCAGCTGATCACGTCTAACTTATTCCTTTGCAGAGTTCGGGAGGATGGTCAGTTCGTAGCAATGGCTCTAAAATCACCTGCGCTTCCTTTCTGTTATAGACTTCTTTGCACATAATCAGTGGCTGTATTTTGAGTGTGCATAGACCCTAGGACATCTTGTCACATGGTGATTGGAATTTAACCTTAGGGATCTCAAGCCATGAGCCCTACTCCCTCTTTTCTGCATTTTAACTGTACTCAGTTTTTAAAGTGTTTTATCGTAGACTGTGGTTTATCCATGATCTTTTGATTTAGGAGCTAAATGTTTTGAAGCTTAGCTCTAATATATGGTTATAGCTGAGTATTCCTTTCATTCCCTCTTCCTTATTTTTTTTTTCATTCTGTCCTTTTGTTTTTCTTATTTCATACTGCAGTCACTTGAGGCCTTCCATGTTACAGCAACTCCTGCGACGTCTAGTTTTTGATGTGCCGCAACTCAGTGAATACTGCAAAATGCCTCTTAAGGTAAACCTCTCTATTGTTACAGAAAAAACAGTCTATGGCACAGGAAACTTGCTTTGTAAAACATGATCTGCACAACTGGGGGAGCAAAATCCATCTTAAATGGGTTTTACTCCTTTAAGTTGATAGCTAACTAAATACAATCTCCAAAATCAAATCCCTTCTTGAGTGTCAAGGTTGGAAAGAGTAGTTCTGCTAGATTCATTAACTGCTCCAATTTTCCTTAATCGATTTCTACCAATTACTTGTTATTTAGCAGAGGTTAGTGAGGGCACTTGGATTTTGTACTTTCCTGCCCTAATTAGGTTTTCAGAATGTTCTTAATCTCAAAAAGCTTTGAAGGCCCTGTGATTCTTCATTTAGGTACAGAAAATAAAATGTCCCTTTTCTATTCCATACTGTGTTGTGCTTTTTTTTTTTTTCCTTCTGTAACAGGTCCTCTTTTTCCCTTTTTTTTTTTTTTTTACTTCTTTTCTCTTGTTTTATTAATGAAAAGTAAGGCCACAGAGCCCTCTCTTTGCCACCTGATTCCTGATTTTCCCACGAATTACCAGCATTTTGTTGCTGGTATAGGGAGCATCGGGCCTGGGTAGAAGGACACCAGAATCTGCCACCCACACAGAGGGCAGTGTTTTTCATCTTTTACCTCTGAGGCACCTGCCATATTAGCATATTCAGAAGGGTCAGCAGTGGCCAGCCACACCTGAAGATTCTGCCCAGTGATTGCAACAGAACTTTTCCCTCTTTTCAGAAATATCACTATAGTTCAAGCAAGGATTTCAAGAAGCATCTTACTGGGATAAACAGAATTCCCAGAAGCCTTTCATTCATCCTCTTTCTCCACGCCACGCAGAAGACAGCTTGTATGCTGTCAGAGATTCCACAGTCCTCCACGGGCTCATTCTTCTGTCTAACCCTAACACTCCCAGTTTTCATCCCCCAAAAAATCCTTTAGCTAAAAACCACAGTTTTTACAGTTCAACCTGGCATTGCTTCCTTGGCAGACCTGTGCCGTCAGCTGGATTCTGGCTCCCAGAGAAACATCATCGATAGCACTCCATAAGCTCACCTTTACCCCTTAGAGCAGCGGGATTTTTCTTGGAGGATGTGGATCCCGCCGGCTGAGACGGGACCATTGGCAGTGTACGTGTGCCCTCTGTTGGCCATGTGGGGAACTGCTGCAACATGGCTGGATCGTCAGAAGGCTCAAGTGAAAGGCAGGGAAGCCAGGGGCAGTAATCAATGCTGAGAAAATCTGCAGACCCACAGCCTACTCCCCACCCTCCCCTCCCCATGTCAGCATGACCAGGATCTCCCAGATTTATTATAAGCAAAGATCTCAGAAGAAATTCTCCCCATCCCTGACTGGCTGGAACAGCACACGGTGACTACCTCCGGAGGGTAACATTTTTTCTCAGTAGGAGTAGAAACAGTTCCTCTCCATATTCCAGGAAATGCGAGGGACGAGTTAGGAGGCACAAGAATTAATCAGGTAGATTCCGTTCAGGCTGGAGCTCATTAGGCACAAGAGCAGACTGTTCCCAGTGGCGTTTGGGGGCCGCTCTGTAGATAACCGAACTGTTTCCATTGTTGGTTTCACTCTCCTGATGCGTGTGTGCTGTTTTCTTCTCCCCTGTGTGCTGTTGATACCTGTGGATCATCTCTGCCCCACCCCACCGGTGCACATCCGTTCTCAACCTCCCAGCTTCTGACAAATCACTACGAACAGTGCTGGAAGTATTACTGTCTGCCGTCAGGCTGGGGGAGCTACGGTCTGGCTGTGGAGGATGAGCTGCATCTGACAGAGAAGCTCTTCTGGGGGATTCTTGACTCCCTTTCCCATAAGGTAATGGCAGTGCTTCCTGAACAAAGAAGGGGGGGTCGCCCAACCTCGGTGATACAACCACCTGCACGTAAGAATAGCTGATACCTAGTCAGCCTCTATCTACCATGTGCCCAGAAGTGTGCCAAACACTTCACAAGCGGATCACATTCATCACCCCAACTCTCTCAAGTAGGAACTACCCCGACCCTCATTTGACAGGTGAGAGAAAGAGCAGCTGATGACTTGCCAAACTCACCAAGCGAATATATGGAAGGGCAACTTCCAGAGTGAATCACAGAAATATTTCCTGGTTCCAGTATTAATGACTTACTCCGCCCCCATTCCTTCCCTGCTATGTTGTGTGGCCCCGGTTAGCTGGTCTTCACCAGGTTCAAGCCTAGAGAAGTCCTAGCGTCTGCCCTGATGCAGGGACGTGGGATTCCCAGGAGACCTTACGCCATTCAGGCTTCCCAGCCACTGAGGCGAAGGAGCTTGAGGGGGGACGCAGGCCTCTGAATCCCAAGCCTTCCTGTGCAGTCTGATTGGATTACAGCCCCGACCTGTATGTAGGCAGCCTCACACCTGCCTCCCCTTCCCTTACCCCAGATTTAGATTTGTGACGTCACCAGCTTTAGACAAGATCGGGAACATTCAGGGTGGTTTGGCCGTAGACAGGTCACCAGCTTTAAAGGTAGAAAATGAGAAGTTTTTCGGGTTTTCGTACAGAAGTCTGGAGCAGGTGTACAGCCGCAGTCTGGTGTTTACACTTACATGATCTTCCCTCCTGTCTTCCTTTGGTCTAGTACGAGCAGATCAAAGGTTGTCCCTCACCTGACATGTTTTAACTGAGATTCCTTCCTGGCCGGGTTCAGGAGAGAATGTCTGTGATACAGAGCAGCCTGCTGATCGTGTCAGCATATGACCCGCATCAGCTACGGAGGGAGCCAGCAAAGCTGCTGTGCCCTCTCTAGGCACAGGGTGGGTCACTTTCTATAACCATCTATGGCCAACAAGTTTGTAGACTCTGTTGGCCTAGTGAGAACCGCTTTAACCTGTAGATATTCCTGCAATTAACTAGTTAGGAGATGTTGATTTAAACCTTGATTTAAGGTTTCCCAACCTACCGCAAACGGTGACTTGAAGGCTTTACAGATTGTCACTTTTCTGTGACAAGGATACCTCAGCTTCCACCAGAATGGATTACAGGCCTTACATGTTCCCCATTCTGGTTAACCTGGGCAAATGCACGTGTTTTTTTGTTTTCCTCCCAGCTAATCGGTGAGTGGTTCTGCCTGGCGGGCTATGGTTTTGGTGTGTGTGCTAACGTGGTCTTTGTCTTTCCTCACAGAGGTATGACCCAGATCTCTTCCGAATGGCCCTGCCCTGTCTCAGTGCTATAGCTGGGGCCTTGCCACCAGACTATTTAGATACCAGAATCTCAGCCACAATGGAGAAACAGATCTCAGTGGACGCAGATGGCAACTTTGATCCCAAGCCTATCAACACCATGAAGTGAGTCCAGAATCATCTCTAAGCTGGTCCTAGATTTTGCCCTGTGGCCATTGTTTCTCCTTCAGAAGGTAGCCAGAAATTTAAGCTTCCCTTCCTTCCCTCCTGCCAGCATGGTTCATCATGTCCCTTGACACTACAAGTCACATTACGTGTTAGATTTTGTCCTCAACTCCTGAAAGATTAATCCATCCATATCTGATTATATGCTGTATTATTATATTCTGGGCTTTTTTTTTTTTGGAGGGTGGGGTTGGGTTATTTATTATAAGAGGTGGAGGCTCTCCACATATGTCACCTGAGGCACTGCAAGAACCCTGACAAATGATGCAATTAATTTATTCATGAGTTTTTTGACAAAATCTTTGCTCTTTTTGAATTAGGGCTGTACAGTACTAATAACATCATACATCAAAACATCTCCATAAATATCAGCTGAGCTCCAGCAGGACTTCAGGGTGTGAGGGCAGAACAACACGGGGTCCTTATTTGAGCGGCTGGACCTGCTCTTTACCAGTGGATGCTGGATCTTTGGAGAAAGTCTACAATAGCGCTTTTTCATTTCTCCCCCTGATTCTCCAGCATTCCTCCCTGGTGATGATTAGGCCACGGACAAAGCATTAGACAAGATCTGCTCAATTTTGCCTTTGGCGGTACGGCCCCAATGATGATTATGGGTCGTGGAGCATACAGGCTTCATCTCCAGCTGCAGTTTCAACGAAAAGCTCCAAAACTGCTGTAGAATGAGCAGGGAAAAGGAGGCCTCCTCTGTGAGCCCCCTGGACTTAGGTTTTATGGCAGTAGTTCTCAGATGAGAGCCATAGCCTGAGCCCTTCCCCGGAGCTGTCAGCTTGTGATCACATATAAAATTCATCTTTGGCAAAAGTAAATACATACTCCATCAGCAGAGCCTTGAGCTGAGCGGATGATGGGAAACCGAATTGAACCTGCTGTGAGGAAGAGGTAAGGGGTGTGGTGAGCCTTCAAGCTAAGGCCAAAGGGAAGGCAGGTATTGATTTGGAGAACTTGGCCCTATGAAAACGTTAAGTGTGCTGAAGGAGGACAAAAGTTGTGATCACTTGGACGCTTTTATAAACATTATGAGACAATGCAGTACTCAAGCAGTGGTGTGCTAATGATGACTCATTCGGTGTTTTTTGTTGTTTTTTTTGCGGTGCGCGGGCCTCTCACTGCTGTGGCCTCTCCCGTTGCGGAGCACAGGCTCCGGATGCTCAGGCTCAGCGGCCATGGCTCACGGGTCCAGACACTCCGCGGCATGTGGGATCTTCTCAGACCGGGGCACAAACCCATGTCCCCTGCATCGGCAGGTGGACTCTCAACCGCTGCGCCACCAGGGAAGCCCCAGTGTTTTTTTGAAAGTTCTGATTTCTTCAAATAGACCTCTGACATCAGTATGGCTCTTTGAGTAATATGAATAATGGGGACTGTAACCAAAACTTAAACAGAAAAGGGTCTTATTGCAAGGATGTGGGGTCATTACTAAAACCTAGTGAAAGGCTGACTAAGCAGGCCTCAGCAAGGGCAGGAACTAAGGCAGAGTGACCAGATGGACATTCTCCAGATGTCCACACTGGATGAGTCACCCTGAAGAGTTTGCTGTCCTGGTCTCACTCAGCTGAGGATTCACATTCCAAGTTCCCTGGTGGTCTAGTGGTTAGGATTCAGTGCTTTCACTGCTGTGGCCCAGGTTCAATCCCTGGTCGGGGAACTGAGATCCTACAAGCCGTGCAGTGCAGCCAAAACAAAAAAAGATTCAAATTCCAGGAAGAGTGAGTCTGACTGGCCTCGTCAGAGCCAATCCTCAGAGACAGTTCACATAAGCCTGCACGCAAGTCAGGAAGACTTATTCCTTAAAGCGAAGTGGAGGCGTATTGCCAACAGAAGGGGCAAAAGCTGCAGGGCTAACGGAACTGACAGGTGTGCCTACTGGGTTGCCATGATTTTAGTATTTAAACATGAATCACCAAACCCCAAAAGGTAGACAAGCACTATTTTGTATCACTTGGTCCTGTAGCTACCCACTTCTGCCATCCGCAGATCGGAGTTGTGAGATGGCAGGACAGTGTCTTTGGATGAAGGGATTCTCACGGTCTAACCCGGACGGGTCTGGCCCAGGAGCCAGAGTGGTTCTTAGGAGCCAAGGGAACCCAGAGCAGCTGGAGGGAGGCCACCTGTGAAGCAGAGGCTGCTGCAGAGACGCCCTCTGATTAGCCATGGGTGTGTCTGCAACCTAGTCCTGGATATGCTTTGAGCTCAGGAAGGTCACTGCATCTGGGGTCCACCTTCAAATTTGGGGTTAGCTGGTTGATCACATGCAACTTCTGATGGCTGATTGTTAGCTCTGGCCATCTTTTCGGCACATGTGACTGAAGTGCTTGGGGAGGTTTTAATTTTATTTTTCCCCTCATTTCACAGTTTCTCCTTGCCTGAAAAATTGGAATACATCGTCACCAAGTATGCTGAGCACTCACATGATAAATGGGCCTGTGATAAGGTAGGGATCATCATCCACCTCATAATTGTCAGGGGAAAAAAACAAAACAACAGCCCAAGAACATGAAAGGGTCCAGTCCTGGGAGTCTGCCTGACTTGTCTAAGTGACAGACTCGCCATGCCAACGGCATTCATTATTTCTGAGCGGCAATTTCCCAGGGTTGGCGGAGATCGGAGAAATGGGCGGGGGCAGTTGCTGATGCGGCTTTTTGTGTCTCTCAAGAAAACGATCGCTTCTGAGAGTGTTAATGTCTGTCTGCACCTTGCCTTTCCTGGAGTCGGCGCCCAAGCACATGCTTGCGCGTGTTTGACATAAAGGCTTAACGTGGGGCCGGAGGCTTTTATTAAATGTTTCCTTTGAATGTAGTGTCGGAAAAAGGGAAAATGGAATGGAAAGCTTTACCCTTGCATTTTGCCAGCAAGCTGAATTTTATTCTAGGGAGGACACACGGCTTCCTGTGGTGGGCAGTGCTGGAACTTCCAGACTCTCCCTTATTAGTAAGCCTGTCCAGCTGGTGTTTAAAATTCTTCACCACATGAGGTCAGGCTGCTAATAAGTTTAATTGCTCTGTCAGCCCTTTAATGCTGGCAGGCACATGGGGAGGAATGCCAAAGACATCTCGGAGTCCTGTGGGCAGCCAGTTAAGCACTGGGCCTTTGCCCAGCTGCAGCTTACAGTCCATAACGGTGGACCTGTCTCCACAGCAAGGCCGCAGAAACCACCTGCCTGGATGCACCCTGGATGAGGGACAGCTTGAAGCCCTAGCTCAGCCTCTGCTCTGATTCTTTCCTGAGCCCCTGTTTAGAGGGGCTCCAATCGTTTTATCTGTAGAATGGGCTAATACTCATGATTCTAGAGCAGAGGTTGGCATGCTTTTTCTATAAAGGGCCAGAGAGTAAACATTTTAGGCTTTGTGGGCCGGACAGTCTCCACTGCAACTACTCATCTCTGCTGGTGTAGCACAAAAGCAGCCAATGACAACACATGAATCCATCGCAATGACAACACATGAATCCATCGCAATATCCAATCCATCCCTAAGCCATGTGCATTTTACCTCCTTAGTCACTTTTGAATTTGAATGGTTCTCTCTGTGCCCATGCCGTGGTTTTAGTCCAAGCTGCACTCATCTTTCACCCAGACAATGTGATAACCTACTAACTAGTCTGCCCACGTGCACTTTCTCCAGTCTGTTCTTCACGCTACAGGCAAGTGATGGTTTCAGTATGCAAATTTGGTCAGATTCTCCCAAATGGGTCATGTTCTCCAACCCAGCCCCTTCTTGTTAAAATCCCTCAATAACTTCCAGCCCTTTTCATGTAAACGTCAAAATCCTTAATATGGCCTGATAGGCACTGCTTAATCTGGTCTCTGCTACCATCTCTAGCCTCATCTCTCCCTTCACCCTCTGCCGTCCAGCCATATCCCCTTCATTTAGGCTCGTTCTCTCTCTCTCTCTCGTTTTCTCTCTCTCTCTCTCTCTCTCTCTCTCTCTCTCTCTCTCTCTCTCTCTCTCTCTCTCTCACACACACACACACACACACACACACACACTCTGCATATGCCTGAATCTGCCCCCCCGTCTGAGCCAGGTACCCATCTGCACTCACACGTGTGAAAACACCATTCACCAATTCCTCCTTCAAAATCTGTCCAAGTGTGAATTCCTAGGACGCCTCTTTCCCAGATTTCTCAGATATAGGCCCTCTTAGCACCTTGCTCTTTTCTTTCCCAGCATTTTTACAGCAGTCTTATATAGTTGGATTTGCAACAGTTATACATTTATATATACCGGTCACCAACTATGCATTTACTGGCGTGGTATTTGATGAATCTCTCTCATCCAGTAGCCTGGAAGCTTCAAGCCTGCTCGCCCTTGCCAGGTGGGCATTGATAATCCCAGGAAAAGAGTATTTTCCCGTGCCCTCAAGGACCCCACAATCGATGGGAGAAACCAAGTAAAGCAGCCATTATACAGGTCGTGCCGTGCTGTGATGGCCATGAGCACGGGGTGAGAGCACACAGGAGGAGACCCCAACCCAACAGGGAGGGTCCGGGAATGCTTCCTCGAGCTGCTGACACCTACAGGGTGTGATGAATGAGGGGCCATTGTTCAGGCACAGGGGAGCAAGTGCACTGCAGGCCATGGAAGCAGTGGGTGCAGACCCCGAGAAGCAAGAGAGTGTGGTGGCTTTAGGGGAGCTCGGTTCGACACATTGGGGTCACGGAGTAGGGCAGGGGAGGAAGGGCAGGACATGAGCCTAGAGGGCCAAGAAGATCTTTGCTGCAGCAGTAGAAGCCAGAAAGAATTTGGATTTTTACCATGATGGCAGCTGGGAATCAGAAATTTTTAAAGCAGCAGAGTGCCCTGAGCAGGGTATTTTATAAAAACCACTTGACAGTGGTGTAGAAAATGGAATCTGTGAGAGACAGCAAGACTGGAGACAGGGAGACCGCATAGGAAGCCGTTGCAGTAATCCAGGTGACAGCTGATGGTGGCCTGAGCTAAAGCACTGGCAGGAAAGTGAAGGAGGGGCAGACCAATAGGTCTGGGAGGTTGAACACACATGAGAGAGTGCAGAGAAGGAAGAGTCCCACATTTCCGGCTTGAAAAGTGAATGTAAGCTGGTGCTGTTCACGGAGATACAGGGAACCTGAGAGGAAGAGCCATTTAGAGAAGTGAAATTCCAGGTGCTGTTTCAGACCTGTTGAGAGGTACCTATGGCCATCCAAGCAAAGCTTAAATAGGTATGGAAGTTAGGAGAGAGATCTGGGCTGGAAATGCTGATTTGGGATTAATCCACTTAGGGACCATGGACCTAGATTATATCCCCCAGGGACAGTGTTCCTTGAGAAGGGGCAGAAACTTGAGAAACAGCCACATTAACAAGGGGACATTGGCAGAGGCTGAGAAAAAGCAACCAGAAGTCTTTGGGCTGTGAGGTTATGGAAAACAGAGCCTTTTTTATCTCTGTATCCACCATGCCTGGGACAGAGTTTGGCACCTACTGTCATAGGCATTCAACCAGTGTTTGTTGCATGACTTTTGAAATTCTTAAACCTCTGTGATTCTAGAAACATGCCTTGCTAGAGCTTTGCTCTGGGGTTGGCGGGCAAGGGGTGCAAACCAAATTAGCCTCCTCCATGCCGTGGCCAGTAGGTCCAATACTCACAAGCGTTCAGCCTTGACATCTGTCCTTGCCTGTGATTGTGGCACATTGTTCTGAAAAGCATTGTTCTCAGGTCGTTTGAAGCATACTTCTGTCTGCAGTGGGCCTGAAACACAAGCGAGTAAGTGGAGGGGACAGCAGTTAAAAAGAAGAAATAAAGGAGCAGGGTTCAAAATTCAGGGGGCAGAGAGCCTGACAGCCCTAAAGGATCAATTAGACATTTTGGAGGGAAATTTCCAAGCTCTGTCACATTCCATTATTCTGTTTGTTCAGTGAAAATTGAAGCTGGGATGTGGGTCACATAGCAGGGCTCTCTGGGTGCCAAGGATATTTGAACTGAGAACATTTCTACAGAGTCAGAATGGATGGAAATATGGAATTTCCCTGGATGAAAATGTGAAGACCCATCCATTGATCAGGCCTTTCAAGACATTAACAGAGAAGGTAAGGACCAGGCCATGCTAATTTCCCTCCCCTGGGAATTATATCAGATGGCAGAGGAGTCGAGGGCACATTCACCATCCAGTTCCTTAGAGACTTTCCAGGACTCGGAAGACTCCTCAGGAGCTGGCCCGTGGGCCACAGCCTCAAGACTGGTTTCTGAGAACCCAGCCTCCCATTCTGCTGTTTGGTTCTGAAAGCCCATTGGGGAGAGAAGCACCAATCAGCACTTAGAGGCTGGGCCAAAATGCATTTGTGTTTCACTTATAACTGAACTAGGAAGGGCTTCTGTTAGATTGTTGAAGTGGGGCGGGGGGACTTGCATTGTTGGAGAGCATTCAGATAGAAGGGACTTCCAATCGTGACGGATAAAAAGAATAGAGGAGAGAGTCCCCAGCGAAACGTGGTTTGTTTGTGTTTTTTTTTTAAGTTATGAAATTTGGTTCAACTCAACTCTGAATTCCTATCTTGCGATCAGTAAGGGTTCCTTGTAGGCTTTAGGCCTACAAGGAACAGGTAGAGGATGACATGTGTATCTTTATGTGCATATTGACCAGTTATAAAATTGTGCATGGCTTGAAAGAGAATTCTAAATCTAAGAAAGTCTATTCCCCATGCTCGGAGGAGAGCTTTGTGCAAATGCATTTTGACATTGTCCCATCTTAAGTACCAACCAGAGAACAGAAGTCACTCTGGAGAGAAAGGGGTGGGTCCAGGGCTGACGACGCTTGTGCAGTGGGCGGAGCACAGAGGAGGCAGAGGTGGCAGCGCTGGGGGGTGGGGGGAGGGAAGAAGTCATTCTCCTGTTCTCGCTCTGCTCTCTCCACAAACTGTGGATCTGTCTGGCACATTCCCTCTAAAAGCAGGAGACTGTGGGGTCCTATGCTTAAAAACCTCAGAGAGACGGATGGCGTGTTTCAGAGGGGATGCTGCAGAGGGTATTCTGACCCAGTGAGAGGAAGCTGGAGCCTCTTAGCCCCCCTCCACTGTGGGAGGACCTCTCTTCCGGGAGACAAGCCAGCCACAGTGCTGGGGCGTGCCCTGCACAGCTCTTCTGCTCCAATGTTCTTCCAGGAGAAGGAAATTTATCGCTGGCCTGCCAGAGAGTCCCTGAAAACCATGCTGGCTGTGGGCTGGACGGTAGAGAGGACCAAAGAGGGAGAAGCCCTGTTTCAACAGCGGGAAAATGAGAAGCTTCGAAGCATGTCCCAGGCCAGCCAGGTATGACCATCACGCCCAGAGGCTAACACTAGGCCAAGAGAACCCATGGAGAATCTGGGAAAGCTATCCCCAGGGTATCAGAGACGAGGCCCACCACCAGTGAGCCCTGGGAACCTTTCGGGACATATCTTTGGCCACTGAAGTCAGGGATGCTGGTGAGAATAAGGCAAGTAACGGGAAACCCAGTGATTCTGCCTTTGCTTTCCTAGGGCAACAGCTACAGCCCTGCTCCCCTGGACCTCTCCAATGTTGTACTCTCCAGAGAGCTCCAGGTCAGTGTTGATACTTTCAGAACAGCGTAACGGACTTTCTAAAACCCCTCAAGTGCAGGACATATTACCCTCCAAAGAGTGTTCTAGAAAGGGGCGAGGGCGAAGAATGTCTAAAACATATCACCACTGAAATATCAAAATTAGAGAGGGCCACAGCGAGCAGAGGCCACTCATCTGACACAGTCTCAGCAGAATTAACCAACAGTCTGAGAAGGTGAGGCTTTGCGCTCCTTCCAGAGACGTCATAGCAGGTCATGACTCAATAGAAGGAAGATCGAACAGCAAATTACTGTACGAAAACCCAAAACAGAACTTATAACAGCCAGGAGAAATAACTAGTAACAAAACTATTAACAACTAGGAGAAAATGTACGAGGTGGCCCCTGGGTTGGGCTGGGCTGCTGGACTGCTCACACCGGGCCCCCCAACCTTGAGGACAATCGCATATCCCGTGGTGGATTCACTTGAGTTGCCCTTGGTGGTACAGACAAGTCATCATTGTAGGATTTAGGGACTTACACCCAAGAGGATGAAATTAAAGGCTTAAGCTTCCTCAGCCCCATTCCTCCCCTGTGCACGTGTCAATGACCGTGACCGGCCCCAGCCTGAGGCCGTTACTCCTCAGAGGGTCCATCAGACCAACGCTTTGGACCTTAAAGAAAGTTTCTTTCCAAATTACACCCTTCATTCCGGGTCACTATTTTATGAACCTTATAAAGATGCATTCTATTTGAGAAATCTTATGTGCAGCAGTTTTCTCCAACATGTGATTATTTTTAGTTTGCTAAGCTAAAGGCTTTCGGGGATCCTAGAGTTTTGCTTGACCCCCACTCCCAGCTCCCTATCTCAGGTCAGGAGTAAAATATTTCACTCCTGTGACAAATGAAGTGCCACCAGAATGCAGTTTCCAATGGAAATGTGTGTTTCTCAGAAATGCATCAAACTGCCAAGATAATAAGTTACCAGAAAAGGACAGAATTCGAAATTGTTTTCTGTGTGTATGAGAAGATATAAAACTAATGGGGTGCATAAGCAAAGACTAATTAATGATGGGAGACACTCAGCAATGTGCCATTAGCGTTTGGTGGCGCTCTGTTCCCGAGGCTGCCTGCAATAGCGGGACAGATATGAACCCATTTTTCTTGCTTGCTTTCTCTCTGACTGTCGTCTCCCTGGTGGGACACAGGGGATGGTGGAGGTGATAGCTGAGAACTATCACAATATCTGGGCCAAGAAGAAGAAGCTGGAGCTGGAGAGCAAAGGTAAGCTAGGTTCACAGCATCTCCCACAGAAGGTGAGCTGGGGGGCAGGTGTGTTTTCCCAGAAGTGCAAAGGAAGAGCCACCTATTTTGTCATCTCTCACTTTACTGACCCCAGGTGGCGGCAGTCACCCTCTTTTGGTACCGTATGACACCTTGACTGCCAAGGAAAAGTTCAGGGACCGGGAGAAGGCCCAGGACCTGTTTAAGTTCCTCCAAGTGAACGGCATTGTGGTTTCTAGGTAAGTCGTCTTCCAGGTGACGTTAGCGGGCCAGGGGCAGGCTTGTGTGGTCTCTCGTGCTCTAGATATTTGATCACCTGCCTGCAAAGCAGATCAGAGTAAGGACAGCGGTTGAGTCTTTTGAAATGAGTAGGTGTTTATTCTGGAGCATGAAGCCCTCTCTTCCGACATAAATAAGACTGATCGATATCAGTTTCTAAAAATCAGTTACAGCAAAGAATCGTGACAAATTGTACATCTATACCTTAAACATTTAATTTTAATTAAAACAAACACACATGCATTCATTCACAAATCTTGTACCATAGGCCCCCAGATCTCATCTTTGTTGGTTGTTTTATTGATTGGAATTATAAACCACATCCATAATGCATCCTCAAAGCTCTTGAAATTGGGCTAAAGAGCAGTTAAGGTACAGTTAAGAGAATTAAGGTACATACGAAACAATGTAAATGCAGTGTTCTAGGTTGTTGGGTTGTTTTTTTTTCAATTTCCTCCCTATCTTTTTTTACGGTTGTCTCACTCACACCTAATTCAGAAACTCTGTTTTTGGAAACTTACAATCGCAGGTCTTTGCAAAATATGCAGCTTAGTTCTCACAGAATCACCAGCTCCCTTCACACTTGTGTTTTTTTGTTTTACGTGATAGTTAATGAAATGCCAAAATAACAATAGGGAAGATGAGTGACATCAACAACCTTTGAACAAAGATGGCAACTCCACTGGAGACACTGAATCGTGATTTCCTAAGACTTTCTCTCAAACTTATGTTTGTCAGAATCATCTAGACAAATGTTTTAGGTGAGGATGGTCTGGGCTGCTTAAGTCTTAAAGGTAGAACCTGATTTCCCCGCTGGTCAGGTGTCGGTGATGGGCTGTGCTTGCGGCGGCCTTTTTAGAACAAAAAACAAGGCAGTGTCCCCACCTCGATAAGCCATTCCTCCTGAAAGAAATGTCTGCTGAGCCAGCTGCTGTTTCTTCTTTTAGTTTCCTACAGAATTTTTGCCAGTGAATGACAGGAACCTAAATAAAAATCTATACAAATATTTCTGTTGTAGCTCATATGAAAAAATAACAAAACCTATTGGCTGTATTGTTGAGTGGGAGAGGTCAGGCAGCAGGAGACAGCCTCTGGGGAAGCATTTAAGAAAGACTCCCATCGTCATTTTAATCCTGTTCTTAACACCAAGATGCATGCAGACTATGATTTGCCAATAAATAACTTGCTCACAGAAGTGAAAAATTCCTCTTGACTATAAGAAGGGAGTCAAGGAAATAGGGCGGGGGAAGGAAAAAGACCACTGAATTCAGCAAACATACCCTTGGAGTGGTTTACCCTGAGCCAGAGCCCGTGGTGGGCACTTGGATGTACCGATAAGGCGGTAACATCCCTGTCACCAAGGAGAAACCCTAGGTTCCCGCTACCCATGCCTCAGACCTGCTCCATCCTCAACTTCCCCATCACTTGACGCAATCCTTTAGGAAATCCTGACGGCTCTCCCCTTAAGATACCCGGAATCTGACCACTTCTTACCCTTCGTGCTGTCACTGCCATTGCTGAAAGGGCTTCCTTCCTGGGCCCCCTGTTTCAATCCTTGCCCTCGGTCAATTTTAATCCTAGCAACTAGAGTAATTCTGTCACAGTGTGAGTCATATCATGTCGTTTCCTCTACTCAAAACTTTCAATAGCTTCCCATCTCAAAGCAAAAGCAAAATGCTAAGGATGGCCCACGGCACCCTGATGGTTGCCTCCACGGCCCACCCCACGCCCCTCTGACTGCCTGCTCACTTCCATCCCTCCACACTGGCCTCAACTCGGCATGCATGCTCCCACTCAGGACCTTTGCACCCCTGCTCCCTATGCCTGGAAAGCTCTCTCCCCTCATGTCTCTATGGCTCAACTCCTTCAAGCCTATACTCCAGTGTCATCCTTCCAATAAGCCCAGCACTGATTTAACACAACAGTCTGCTCAACCCCACTTCAGGCACTCTTGGGCCCTTTTCCTCTTGCTTTAGTTTTTCTTTTTTTCACAAAACTTATTAACTTACAGCATTCCAGATAATTTTTTTAATTTATTTATTTTATTATTTATTTTATTTTCGGCTGCGTGGGGTCTTCGTTGCTGCGCGCAGGCTTTCTGTAGTTATGGCAAGCAGGGGCTACTCTTCGTTGCGGTGCACAGGCTTCTCATTGCCATGGCTTCTCTTGTCGCAGAGCACGGGCTAGTCTAGGCACACGGGCTTCAGTAGTTGTGGCTCGTGGGCTTAGTTGCTCCGCGGCATGTGGGATCTTCCCGGACCAGGGCCTGAACCTGTTTCCCCTGCATTGGCAGGCGGATTCCTAACCACTGCACCACCAAGGAAGTCCCCAAATAATTTATATTCCGTTTTATGTAGCGTTTGTACCTGTTTATAGCAAGCATGTAAGTTCCACGAGCGCAGGGATTCTTGTTTGCATCTCTGATTTATCCCCAGCTCAGTATTTGTTGAATTGAATGACAAAGATCTTTCTGAAAAATCTTTTCAGAAATTATTGTAGCTCAGGTGTTGCATGCTCACAGAGGCAGGTTTCAAGTGCAAGGGGAAATGAGTCAAATGATGAGTCAGGTCACTAAGCCAGAATAGCCATCAGCATTTGGAAAGCAGAGTTGACATGGAGAAAATTGCTTGTGCACCAAAGTCACATTGTTATCTCTGTTACTCCCTGGGGTTTACCCATTTCCAATCTAGAGGTATCAAGGATATGGGGCTGGATGCCTCCTCCATGGAAAAGAGGTTTGCCTATAAGTTTTTGAAGAAGACCCTGAAATATGTTGATTCTGCTCAAGAGTTTATTGCCCATTTGGGTAAGTATCATTGTGAAGCATCAGAAAAATGTGTGCTTCTCAGAATACCAAAAGGAATTAGATATTCCTTTTATGAAGCGCGATGCTTTCATACTGTAGCTGTTCATGATTCTTTGAAACATATGGTTTAGGGAAGGACACAGTGGCTGAGATTTCCCACACACACACACACACACACACACACTTAAAAAACATCCGTTTTGTCTTTGGTTTCCCTTCTGGGTTTGATTGAATCATTTGTCATTTTTCACATAACTCATCCTCTTCTAAGTTTTCCATCGTTTTGCTTTATGCCTGTGAGCACATGACTCAACCTCTCTGAAGCTGCCTTCTTATCAGTAGAGAAAAGAGTAGTGAAACCCTAGACAATTCACACAAGAAATAACCAACCCTCACAATTATAAAGTACTTTGTAAAATATTAGATATTTTATAAAATCAAATGGCATTTTCATGACGAAAAGCTGCTCTGTGTCTTTAATGCTGTGACTCTTTTTGTTTGTGTTTTCTTTAGCTCTGGCCAACTTTGTGTCACTTTTGTCTTTGTAGAAACCATTGTCAGCAGTGGGAAAACTGAAAAGTCTCCCCATGACCAGGAGATCAAATTCTTTGCCAAAGTAAGTGACTCTCTGCATTTAACCGGATTACCTTCTTCTTGGGATCTGTACAATTTAGGGTACAAGTTAAGCAGATCCAACAAAGATATCCAAAACTCCAATAATGACTTTGATGAGACGGACGTGTGTTTCTCTCTTGTGGAAAGGTCCTGAGGCAGGTGGGTGGTCCGAGGAGGTAAGCAGCCTGCTGTGCTCTACGCCATCACCCAGGGACTCGGGTTCTTCCTCTCTTGATGCTCTCTTATCTCCTAAGATGTGGTCCCTGACAGTCGTCCAGACTCACCTGTACCACATCTGTGAGAAAGGGGGGAAGGATAGCGGAGGGCAAGCTGTTGTTTTATTAAAGTTCTAAAGTTTAATAAAAGTTGTTTTGTTAAGTGGCTAGAACTTACTCATTTCAGCCTCAGCTAGCTGCAAGGGAGGTGTATAATGCATGCTTTAACTGGGTGACCCCAGGCCCAGCTAAGAAACACGGGGATTTCTACTGCTAAGAGAAAGAAGGGAAGAACGAATTTGGGTGCCAGTGAGCTGTCTCAGCCACATAACCCTACTCAGAGGACTAAATACAAGGGAGACTTTGGGGTAGCCATGCTCTGAGAAGCAGAGACAGGATGGTCAAGTCCAGTAGTGCTGGGCCATGCCTCAAATATTCTGTTGGGTGCCATGCCCAAGAAGCCACATCTGAGTGCAGATGTCCTACAGGACGCCCCTGAAAATGTTGATTCAGGATGTGCATTTCTTTGGACCCTTAGTCAGTGTCCTGCCCTATCCCTTCACATATTTCTAAGGCCTCTGGTTACAGGCATAGAAGAAGAAAAATGTTTTGGAAACTGGGATTCACAGGGTAGCGTTTCCTAGAAATTCCAGGACCGGAGTCTTTTTGGGTTCAGAGTCGTTTTGCTCATTAAGAATGAACTTTTTCAAAGGAACCAGAGGAAGGGCTTTGGCCAGCCTCCTAGAAGTTCATCTCTGGTGGATCTTTCAGGTTCTTCTCCCACTGGTTGACCAGTACTTTACCAATCACCGCCTCTACTTCCTCTCGTCCCCTCTGAAGCCCCTTAGCAGCAGCGGGTATGCCTCTCATAAGGAGAAAGAAATGGTGGCCAGGTGAGTCTACGGAAGAGAAGGTCACAGTGCTCATGTGATTTACGTAAAACCCCAGACTCCTGGGGCTTCGGTGGTGAATCTTTTGGAGAAGTGAACGGTGGCCTGATGATGGGTAGCTCAGAGGTTTTGGTTATCATCTTGGTTTTGAAAGTGACTTTATTCACACTTATCTGTGTATTATTTTGGCAACCAAGAGAGGTACACTGTTTGGGGGTATCAGTAGGGCTTGGGGGAGACTTATATACTCAGGTCAGCTTCTATCCTGAAATAACATTTAGAACAAGGAGAAGGTAATTCTGAAGCTTGGCAAAAGCAAACACACAACGTTGAGAAGAAACGGATTAATACTGTTTTCAGTCTCATTCTTCTCAGGCTTTTTAAGCTTAAATTTTTTTTAAGGAATCAGATCTTACAAGTCCTGGTGTGGATGATCCGAGATTTGAAATCTAGAGTGACATAATTCAATTTAAATTCCTAGCAGGAAACAAACTTTCATCAAAAGCACCAGCTTCCCTTCTTATTCCACTAGGCATGACACGTAGATGCCTCAGCAGAGCTGAGAACAAACCAGGTGCTTCATGATCAGGCTACAAGTGGATACCACTATGCCTCAGGTTCTCTGTATTTGATTTACGAATGACAAGGGATGGATTAGACTTCTAAATGGCAAAGAGTTAAGGACTGCAATAAAGGCAGTCTATCCCTGGCATCCACTGACGGTGAGCAATGTACTTTATATTTTATAAGGGCCCAGCCATTGAATATCACCATCTTTGGGAGGATATTCAACCTTAGGATTTAGCTAACATTCATCAAGCACAGCATGGCTCAGCAGTGAGCTCGATTTTTGATATGCACAAGTTATTGCCCACCTGTGGAAATATCATTGCGAAACACCACAGTGCTTTAAATTCCAAGAACCACCCGTGTGTTATGATCTCCACTTTGCAGATGAGGAAACTGGGCAATTTGGGCAGGTTCACTCCAGTGCCTAAAGTGACCCAGGTAGTAAGTTAGGGCAAGAATGAAAGCATAGCCCTCTCTATCCGGATCGAGTGCCATTTTCTCTACACTGTAATTACTTCTGACATTAATATTTGTTAAGCAGGGAGGAGCGCATGATGTCGAAATGAGATACACTTAGAATCAGTTACTGACCCAAGATTTCCTAGATATTTTCATGACACACCGGTGTTTTTTGTAAGAAGTTAAGGAAATGAAGAGCCAAGTGAGATACTCAGATAAGCCAACAGAGGGCAGGTGTGTCTGTTCTCTTCATCTGTTTTTCTTAGGGTATTAATTCATGGAAATGTAACATTTGTTCAGCCAGGCACCATTTGTCACAGCTGGAATACAAGCTGGAGCTCGCTGATCGGCCTTGCAAATAGCTTTCAGATCCGTCAGTGTGCCCGCCGCCCTCCCATAGAAGTGGCCATATGGGCACTGACCGTGCTCACCTTCCCAGACCCCTTTGGTTCCCAGCCTTCACCCGTACCCCACCTCTTCTGCATCTGATGCAATTTACCAGTGCGTTCCGGAATCTCTCCCCTGGGATCTCTTTAACTTATCACCTTCTAATTCTGAGATGAGAGAGAGGCGCCTGGGGACTCTGGCCCCTCATAACTCTGGGTGAAGGACAGTGCTTCTGCTTGAATCGTGGGTCCCACAGGCAACAAAAAAGGGCCTTTGGAAATTTCAGTCCCCGGCCTTGACATACCTGAGAAAGCATTTCTGAGAGCCAGGGGAACCACGTTTATATTAGGATCAAACAACCCAAGGATCTGCTTTAGTTAGAAAAATGTTATTTTGTATTTATTCAGAGTGGGTTCATTTTGAAGCATTTTGCCAGAAATAACTGAGTTTATCAGCCCCTAATTCTACAGACTAAAAGGGTCATGTGATTAGTCGCTGACTACAGACGAGAAAGCTAAAACACAGAGCGGGATGAGGTCGCTTCACCACGACAGCCCAGCTAGTCCTGGCAGAGCCACAGAAACTCATATTCCTCCAGGACCTCCGCCAACTCCATGAGTTTTCATCCGATACATAACTCTGAAAAAAAAAAAAAACATCCGGGGAAAAGAAGCAGCAGTTCATATTTAATTTCACACTCGCTGGCTGCCAAATTTCTGTTAACTTACTCTGAGCTCTCTTAAGCTCTAGGCCAGTGTTTCCAACTTATTTCCCCTGCAAAAACAAATGACTAACCAGCAGAGACTTTGGCTGCTTCTCTACTTGAGCTGTCCCCTAAAGGTTTTTGCCCTGTGTGGGGCAAGACGCCCATGACTTCTAAGAAGATCTTGGGAAGGACTTCAGCTAGGTCTCACCTTGGCAGCCCAAGGCTTGTACCAGGTGATTTTATTTTACTCCCCCTCCTTCTGTTCCACCAGGTGGGACTGCTTTCTGAAGGGATTGCTAAGTTCTTACCTAGCTGTGCCAATGTCAAGTAATGTCAGCGTTCTGGGGAATATCCTCCCAAGAACTTCAGCAACACGGGTCAAATGATGGCCATAGTGCCTCTAGACAGGGGCCATCAGGAGTGTGTTCAGAAACATCCACGGGCTCTTTGCTAGCTGCACAAAGCCCTCTATTAGACACTGTGGAAAGTAAAACAGTAAGACACAACTGGACTCCTAGGGGTTCCATGGTAGACAGTATGGGTGAAAGCATGGAATAGGGTCAAAAAACACAAAAGCATAGCAGATGAGATGTCCTAGCTTCAAAGACACAGATAGGACAGCAACCCAGTCAGGCCTATAGGCTAATGGAGATGTCAGGGAAAAGCCATCTCTTGAAATGTTTCTGGTTCAACACAGTATTGCCCATACCTGAACCTTTAACTTTCTTCCAATCCCACCATCTTGCGCACCTCCAACTAAGGCCTCACACCCTGTTCCCCCGAGTGAAGGCTACAGAAAGGGCTTGCAGTCCACTGCAGTAATGGAAAAATCATGCTTCCTTCCAGAATCCTCGTTTATCCATGAATGTTCTACAGATGAACCTTTCAACATATAGTACGCTATAGCAAGAGGTGGTTTGCAAGAGGTGGCTCGCAACAGGTGGCTCATTGCAAAACATGGTACTTGCTGCAGAAGGATTGTTTTCTGCCCGCAAGGTACCTCTCGTGATTCTCCAGCAAGACAGTGGGAACCACATGTTGTCCTAGTGTGGTCCAGAGGACTCTTTGAGGGGAACACAGTGCATCTTCCCGGGGTACTGTACTAGGCACTTTGTTTTACTGCACAGGGGCCAAGGGGTGGGGTACAAATGAGTCTTCCTTGAATCTCTGTCCCTTTCTGACTTTCATTCTTTTCTGCTTCAGCCTGTTCTGCAAACTCGCTGCTCTTGTTCGACATAGGATTTCCCTCTTTGGTAAGAGAAGTATTGCTAAAGGCTTCACCCTCTGTAATTATCCTGAACTTTGTGTTTTGCCTTCATCTGTGGCTCCTGCAGACGAGCTGAGCCTTAGGACTAAGGTGTCACCTAAATTTGCCATAGAAAGTTGGTCTGAAGTATGATAAACCCCTCTCTCCCCCTTGAACAGCTCAGATTTTCCACGCCAATGGATGCTTTAAGCCCTGCCTCTAACTTCCATCATCAAGCGATGTGTCAGGCCAGAGATAAATGCTTTGGCCCCGAACGGAGACCTGGCACTTTGTGTGTTGGTGGTTAATAAAGCTGGGCTGTTTATGCTTATTGAGAAGATTGTGTTTAAATGACAGGCTGAATGCTTTGGGGAGTCACAGGTGATATTTTTGATTTTAGGGAACGATTCTACTACAATGGTGAGCTGTCTTCACATCTTAGCTCAGACACTTGACACAAGGTAAGTGTGCCCAGAATTTTCCAGTAGTTTCTCAGGACTCCCTCTCTGACCCTCTCTCCTTGCTTATTGTACTGAAGAGGAGATGTGTCACCATTATGCAGGAGCTGGGGAGAAAAGGGAAGATGGGGAAAAGGCGGATTCCACCGTGACGTTAGCACACTCTGTTTCTCAGCTCACATGATGGAGAGCCACCGTCATGGCAGATACCGAAAGCTGAGCATTTGATCAATTCTTGTCTTCTCTTACTGAGAAGTTCATCTTTCAGAAGATGAAATATGTAACGTGGCAAAGTACCACTTCGTATCTAATTCTCCACGAAAAAAGAAAAAGGAAGAGCTGCCTGATGGGTGGCAATGCCATAAGAATCCTGGGAGAGGGGACCCGTAGCACTCTGAATTCAAAATGGCCAAGGAGGGGATGTGATTACCAGAAGATCAAAGACAAAGATAGATTCGAGCCCATGACCTGAGGGTCTGATGGGGAAGATGGCTGAACAAGAAAGGAAGTCTTCCTTTTCTTTCACATACATACATATATGTGTATGTGTGTGTGTGTCTGTGTATATATATTCTGGTGGTATAAACATAAATTATTTCATGAGATCAAAAAGAGAAACAGTGCAAATAACGGACAGGGAGTTTTCTTTAACACGCTCATTAGGCAGGGGCCTTGTCAGAGTTGAGAGGAGGACACACATCCCCAAACCCAACGCAGAAGAGGGGCACCAGCCTAAAAGAGTGGCCAGATGATGAAAATTCTCTACAAACTAAGAATGTTTTTATTAAAAAAAAGTTAAGGGTAGTTAAAGGGGATTTTCAAGCGTCGGAGAGAAGCAAACATGTTGTGGAGATGTTAAGACAGCACAACATTTTCACGCCCAGGCCAGAGCATCCCAGGGATGCAATTGGGACGAGGAATCTTTATTCCCAAAAGCATGCAAAATGCCTTAAGAGAGAGTCCTCTTTCTTAAACGTACCGACCTGCATTTTTTTTTTTTTTCCGTAGTCATTCCTGAGAAAACCTGAGGAGGATGGTTCATAAATACTTACAGCAAAGCCTCACTGACTTTATTTCCTTGTTTTTATTTTTCTGATGGGCTGGATGGTTATCATGAAAATGCTGTAGATAAAAAGCATCTGTCCTTATAGCAAGTCTGTCATAATCTTGTGAATAAGATGTAGGAATATGGAAAATGATAGATGACTTGTAGGCTTTGTTCCAGTTCTAAGTTTTATAAAATAGTTTTAAGGGAAAGCCCCAGGTACCCATAGCTAATCTCCATTCCCACATGTTTTTTTCGGTGGTGTGATTGAGCTGTCTGTTTTAAAAGGGGCTGGCTCTTCACCACTCCCCTTCTCCAAGCTAGAACATCCCTGAAAAGTGATAGAAATCTAAGCTTCAGCTGATTTAATTCTCTGTTCTCTCTCTCTAAGAGGTCCTACATCACAGGAGAGCTAATATTTCTAACTAGTCCTTATGAAAGTTGCTGAGCCCATGTGGAGCTGCAAGAAAAGCTCCCCTCGCCCTCCTTTTAATTAGATATTTGCAGAAGAATGTAGCCAGCTGCAATACTATATAGATAGCAGGTGACCAATATCAGTTTCTTTCTAAAGTCGTCCTGCCATTTCCTAAGAGTTGAGCAGTCATTCCCTCAAATCAAGCATGCCTTCCAGTTCCATCCGTCCCACACCCCACACCCCCACACCCCGCCCTTTGGGCTTGTGGATCCCAGTTTCTTTTCGGATGCTAATAACCACTGTCTCCATCTCTCCCGACGACGACTCGGTGTCTTCCAGGTGACTGGGGTGTCAAATGTCTGCCCAGGTTGCACTGCAAGTCACCAGTCTCAAGAAGGGGGTTGGCCAAAGATTCAGATTATGCTTCTGGTTTTGAACATTGTTTGCTTTCAGGACAGTCATGAAGTCAGGCTCAGAGCTGGTGAAGGCCGGGTTACGAGCATTCTTTGAAAATGCAGCCGAAGACTTAGAGAAGACTTCAGAAAATCTGAAGCTTGGCAAGTTTACCCATTCCAGAACGCAGATTAAAGGCGTCTCTCAGAATATAAACTACACCACGGTGGCTCTGCTCCCCATCCTGAAGTCCATCTTTGAGCATGTGGCTCAGCATCAGTTCGGGGTGGATTTACTCTGTGAGTCAGCCTGCTGTCCGTCATGGATTCATGTGCATCTGGCCACAGATCAACAGGAAGTGTGTGGCTCATTCCCTTAGGCTGACCTTGAGGACAGAGTAGAGATAACTCTTCCACACTTTTTCCTTCTTAGATTTAAAAATGAAATAGTAGACTCTTGGAGGGGAAGAAATGCCCAAATCTGAGTATATAATATTTCATCTTTTCCCACTGTTTTTCAGGACCAGAATTTTCCACCCACTGGTTTAGCTCTCAGCCATTGTGTTCTCACTTAATTTGAAAAGGTTATCTGAGAAATCCAGCAAGAGATATAGGTTGCTCCCAGACCACCAATTCATTGGATACCAGGAGCAAAGAGGAGCTGCTAACATTTCATTGTCTAAGCCTCCCGAAGAAGACTGTAGTTGGTTGGTTTTCTTTTAGTTTTTGCATTTGGTACCATGTCCAGCCCGCTTATACTGCCACCAAGCTTCAGTTTCACACTTTAAACGGTGGCACATGATTTAATTAGTTTAACCAGTTGTCAGTAGCCAAGGCTGTGTCTTCCACAGCCTTCGACAGGGAAAATCAGTTATTTCCATGGGGTTAGGGGGACAGGTAGGGGAACATTCAAACTCACTATTCTGTGTCACGGACACAACGCACTTCCTTGTTGAAAAATAAAATTAGTTCTCTTTATGTTAAATTGGTTCCAGCCTTATTGTGAGTTCCATACATTAATAGAGGCACGTAGCCTGCCCATTAAGTTCCTAAGCGAAACACGCCCTTCCCTTGGGAAACATGGCAAAATCATGATACAACTGAATTACCTTTTGAGAAACGTCCATCAGAGAACTTGGAACAGGTGGACACGAGGAATTTTGCTCTGTCTCTGCAGAGGTAGGGACATTGTACATATCTCCCTAAGAAAGGAACAAAAAGCTCATTCAAACTTCTTTGATTTCTTGCATTCTTCCTTTCAAAAGAAGGAAATAGTGCTCTGGATAAAATTTGATTACAGTGTCTCCCTCTGTTGGAGGGGGAAAAAAATACCCATATGGAAGGACTCATTGGTCAAATGATTCCTTTCCCTGAGAAGCAATGTGATCTGTATCAGGAGTCCTACAAAGGACTTGGGATGCTCAATGGAGGGTGTTTTTCCGTTGGTGTTTCCTCTCCCAATTCAGCAACTGGCATTTGAGTAGAGAGGGGCTATATTTGTTAAAAAGAGAGAAAGAGAGCTCTTTGGCTCTTAGGTGATGCCACCATGTGTTTTCTGTTTGCAGACCCTTTCTGTATGCAGGAGGTGGGCCACTGGGATTGATGAACAGGAATGACAGCTCTTGTTTGGTCTTTTCAGTGGGTGACGTGCAGATTTCATGCTACCATATACTGTGCAGCCTCTACTCCCTTGGGACAGGAAAGAACATCTATGTTGAAAGGTAATTAGCGAACAAAAGAGGCTAACACATTCAGGCTGAATGTGTTACTTAAGTCTTTAAACATTTAACAATAGCATCTTTTCAATCCAGCAAAAGCGAAATGCTCACTGAAATGGCTTGGTGATTTTGAGCCTAGGGTATGAAATGTTTACGGCAGTATAAAATGTGTTAATGAGGCTTCTGAGATGTATGACTTCCCTGGCGATAGCTGGAGAATGTATGTGGCTGGAGGAGCAATATAGCCAAGCTAAATCATGTGCTGGTGGCCAAAAAAATGTCGAAGAAGTGTCTCTTTTTTCATAATCACAGTTTCCAAATAGCCTCCAGAGTTCCTGTGGTTAAAGCTTGCTGAGAAGCTCAAGGGACGTGAGGCAGTTGCTTTAGGGTTTAATGAGTTTCTGTGTGATACAGCCCTGGACCTTTACCATTCTCAGCTGTCACATTAGCTATAGTTTTAGACAAGTCCACACTTTGGACGCATAAATGCTATTCAGTGGTCTTGAGTCTGAACAGGCAGATTTGCTGAGGTGCTTAGGTTCCTGCTCTACTCACTACTCTGCCTGGAGCGATGGAGGCCTTCGGTGACTGCCTGCTTCTCACCATCAAATGCCGTGTGTTGTGTGGTTCTGTTTAAATCCACGGGGAAGATCAGGAAGACAAACGCAGTGGTAGCCAAACCCTAGACTTAGTCTTATCCTCGGAAGACGTTTTCTCCCTTTTCTGCCTTTTCAGTCAACGATACTGAAGAAATTGGATCTGTGCTTAAAATTATTTAATCTAAACATCCCCTTGGTATCCATGCTCCATGGGCCTCCTCAGTTAATGATACCTTTACAAACAAACCAACGGTAAATCCCTATTTCACATCGAAACTTACATAAATTCTAATTGCAATTTCTCAGTAAAGCAAAGACAAGACTTGGGCTCCTTCAAGAACTCAAGAACTGATGACTTGAAATCATGTGCTAATAACCAAACAATGTTGAAGGAATGTCTATGTCTTCATAATTACTGCTTTTAAGAAGCTTCTAGAGTTCAAGAAATCAACTGGAGAATTAATGACTAATTTATTTTGTTTATGATTTTAATTCCTTAGAGTTATGTAGCTTTCCTTATTGTTTTACATGAAATATAGATAAATAGTTGTATCCTTTAATAGGAACTGGGCAGACAAAAGTCATAACCATATTTTATACCAAATCAACAAGAAAATTAATAAAACTTTTTCTGTTTAATACAGAATTTCACTTAGGGAAGGTGTCTTTACTTTCATTAAGCATTTGTGAATATTTTCTCAATATCTTTTCTTATTCTGTCATTTTCTATGTGCGTATATACATACATCTATATGTGCATGTGTTTCTTTACACCATTTTTTGAAAAGCTTATGCATTATTCTCTTTTTAAAAAAGAAAAAAAAATTCAAAGAAAGGTCAACTCTGAAATGTCAGACCAGAAAAATATTCGTCTTCATATGACTTTTTATATTTTATTCATATACTCACAGCACTGTGAATATTGGTGCCTGTGTTTTATACTCCACACAGGTAGAAAGCCAGGCTTGAAGAAGCCCCTAGATCAAATATGCCCCCATTGTCTCTCCATTAGTTAATGAAGCAACTAAGGAAATAAAGATTTAAAATCCTCGAGTTGTGACGCTGCCACCATTAATGACTTTTATTTGTTTATTTTCTCTCGTATTGTGAAAGTAAGACGTACTTGTTCAAAAAAGACATCAAACAGTACAGACATATGTAAAGTTAAAAGTCTGCTGTTTTCTTCACCCCAGACCACCCCACCTAGTAACAGTTTGGTGTATACCATTCCAGGTGTTTTCTACATGTGTAAGTTTTTACACATGTTGGATCATAATATTGCTTTGCAACTTTGTCTTGTTGGGTGAAGCTAAAAACTGAATTTATCATACAACTCATATTTTTAATTTATCATTTAGATAAAGTCACCAATTCTCTGCTTTAAAAAAGATTAGCAAGTTTAGTACATTTACATTTCTAGCTACTTTCTATCCTTTCTACCTTTCCTTTTTTTGCTATGTAATTCCTTATAACATGTACATTTTATTTTGGAATATTCTAGAACTAATGTTCCTTGAGTTGTTTACCTTGGTTTGTATTTAAACGATTCAGTGTGTAGCCAATCCTTTTGAACTGTGACTTTCCCATTCCAAAACTCTTATTTTGATTTATCTCTTGGTTGGCCAGATTCATCATATGTAGTTGCTTCTGTAAGAGCCCTACTCTTGAGTCTTTGCATATTTTGGACTATCATCCTTTGACTTTATATGTGAACAGTTTCCGTGGTATAAAATCCTTGGGTCATAATTCTCCTTCCTCGGAAGTGTATAGCCTCTGCTTCTTTGTGTTCTGACAGTGTGTGTTCCTTGGATCCGGTGATTTGTTCCCCATACACGTGACTTTGCCGTGGGAGGGGAGAAGCTGCTGCTCGCTGGGTTCTTTCTTTGCTCTTGAAGCTCATTCACTTCACTACTACCGTGTCCCAGGGTTGTCCTTTCTGTATCAGCCCCTACACTTCTCAGAACTTAATATGCCCCCTCCGTCTTCAGAATCAGGTCCTCGTTTATTTAATGAGTCTTTCATTTTATTATATTGTTGTTGGGTTTTTTGTCTTAGCCGTTGTTCAAAGAGCGAAATTATGTGTATTTATTGGCTTTTTCCTTAACCTCCCACATCTCTCATTTTCTCTTCAGTAACTTTTAGCTAATTGTTCTTTCCCGAAACTATCTCCGTGTTAATATCTCTTCTTATATTCTGTGAGGGTAGAGAGAAGTTTTCTGTTTTTTTCCTGGATAATTCTTCCTCTGAACTCTATTTCTCATCTATTTCTTGGTCATTAGGTACATTTCTAGTTCTCAAGAAGGAAAAGGAGTGCATGTATGATGCACGTACGCGTGTGCGTGTATGTGTGTTCAGTGGAGGAGGGAGGACAGGGCTGAAACTTCGGGCAGCTTCAAAACCTAGAAGCTGACTGAGAACTAACTCTTTCTCACTGTATCAGCAGTGCCTTTAGCCCTAGAAGTCATCCACCCTTATCCTTTGGTGTCCTTCCTCAACCAAAGTAAACAGCTGGTGCAGATAAGAGGTTGGTGAAATTCTTGGTGCATCCTATAGAACAGGCCTTTTGCTTAGTGATTTAATGTATGTTTCTTCTCTACTTTAGAGGAGTTGAGGCGGCAGCTACAAAACAGGTTACTTCCCACTCTTTCACTCTGCGTCACCTCCACTGGTTCTCCAGGCTAGGCGTCCAGGTCATAGTTATGGCAGATGGCATGCACACTCCTTCCTACTCTGGTCCTGCCTGCCACTCTGCAGGATGGAACCTGAGTCCCACACACGCCCAACAGGTCTCCCAGGGCCTGCTCACACCCTTAAGTCTCGTTGTTTCAAGCAAGACTCCTTTCCTGGGCTCCTCAAAATCCCTATATTTACTTCCAATGATCTCTACACTCTGCTCTAGGTCTTGAAAGAATGTTTCAGTTTCAGCATCTTCACTTGATTTGGTCCATACTTTGCAGTGTGAAGTTATCACACATTTTCTAACTTCAGCATAGATCTAAATTTCTTCCCAAATTTTTCCCCAGCTCTTGTGGGTTTTAGGGAGGAAAGTATTGGCTTGGCCAAAAAGTTCGTTCTGGCTTTTCTGTAAGATGTTACGGAAAAACCCAAATGAACTCTTTGGCCAACCCAATATAACGAAACCCACCATTTCTCTACCACCTTTTACTGAAGTTTCTTTGGCTAATGAATGTCTGTAGGGTTGCAAAGGAACCACTCAATATAGCTGGAGTGCATTGTGGATAGAAGAGATTCAGACACCTCAGTGATAGGGTTGACTGTGAGAAGGAAAAAGTCATTGAAACAGAGTAGAGACCTCTTTCGGGATATTTTCTAATTGAGGCAATACTGAGATGGTCACTGACAAGCAAAGTTTTCAGATACAAAGTTTCAGGGTAGGGAAAAGGCTTTCGCATATTTAAACATGGAGAATACTTAAACATTCTTTAATCTGGATATACTTTGATTAATTGATAGAGCATTTGATGGGGATGCATCAAGAAAACTAAGTTTTGTAATTAACTGCATTAAGCATTGACTCTCCATTTTATTTCAAATTAAAACTTTATTTTTGCCTTCACACTTTAGAAATGTTTATATCTTCCTTCCTGCTTTGCCCCCTTTGACCAGTTTTGTTCTGATCAAACATGGCTTTCCCTAAACCACTGAGATTACTAGTATTTCTATCTAGAACCTTGCTCTGCCTCCACTTTCTGCCCCTGTGCTACGTGTTGCTTCCTCTCCTTAGCATCCTCTGGAATTTACATGAAGGAACTTCCAAAATTGCAAAGCACCAGACACGTGCAGGCATAATTATGATTACCATGATCACTTTGTCTCTGCCTGTGTCCCGGATGATAGACAGTTGAGAAGCAAGGTCCCAGTCCATGGAAATAAAACTGAGAGGTCAACTTAGGAAGTAACAAGAACTGAAATACAAATTGAACCAAAGTGAAAAGCAGGAAGGGAGGGATAAATTAGGAATTTGGGATTAACAGATACACACTACTATATATAACATAGATAAACAACAAAGACGTACTGTAGAGCACAGGGAACTATATTCAATATCTTGTAATAACCTATAGTGGAAACAAATCTGAAAAAGAATAGATACACACACACACACACACACACACCATATCACTTTGCCTCACACCTGATACATTGTAAATCAACTGCAACCAAAAAATAAATAAATTGAACCGTCTTCAGTCTGTCAGCATTGACCAAGTACTATTATATGAAAAATACTGTTCTAGGCAATAAGAACTAAGGCAGGGGGTGGGTGGGTAGGGGGAGAGTGAGTTTCTCTATCCACTGATAAACTTCCAGTAGATCCTTCAGTTGCCATGGAACTGTTTCTGTAGCCCTTGCTCTGCTTGGTCTATTATACCCACACTGCCCCCTGGGGGGACACTAATGATCAGAGAAGCATTTTAACAGCAGGCCTTTGCCAGGCTCAGTCCCCCTTGGACCTGGAGACCAAGGTCATTCACTCTGGTATTTCACAGCCAGGCACGTTAATTGACAGACTTCTGGGCTTTACTTTTACAGAACTTCTAACAGCGAGGCCAGGAGAACCGTTGTTTCTCCCTCACAACTGATTAGCATCACTGTGTGCCCCAGACTAGAAAATGCCAGTGTGGTGGGCTTGCAGAGACTCAGTTTGTCAGTCATTAATATTATACTTGGCCCTCTCCTTTGAGTCAGGGAATCCGCAGAGCACTAGAGAAATGTCTTTTGCTCCAAGGATTGCCTTTTATCAGATGAACTTCCTATAAGTCCACTTTCAGGAGATCACAACTTTTCATTTTGGTGAGAGAAAGAGAAAGGAAGGAATCATGGGTTTAGTACCAAGACAACCCAGGACCAGCTGTTTCCAAGGTTCCCCTCCCTGGGCCAAGTAAAATTTGCTCTCAGATTTGATATTACCCTGGTCATCCCTGATTTTCACCCAGATTTTGTTTCCTTACTCAAAGCTCTCTCTATGGTATTTCTTTCCTTTCGTAACTCAACTCTTTATTTCCTTTTCCTCCTCAAAAGGCAAGACTAATGAGAGGAAATGGGGTATCTCTCCTGAGTGGCTGGCCCCTGGGGTTGGTTAAAATGGAGAGACTGTTGACTGAAAAAACAGCCCCTGTGTGTCCTCATGTTGGATGCGTCCAGGCCCTCACTCTGCTCAGCTGTCCCTGAGGGTGTTGGCCTCTTCTCGTGCCTCTCCACCACCACGGTGAGCGTAGCAAAGAAGGGAGGGGATGGGGGAAGAAGACGTGAAGAGAAGGGGAGGTGGGAGAACAGGCCTGGCCAGGGCCTGCTCAGAGGTGAATCAGCTTTGCAAAGCTTCCCGGAGAGGAGGCCTGGTCTCTGCGGTCTCCACAGCCCCACTGCCTCCCCTGCTTTCTCCCTCCACCACTGATGCAGCCTCCAGATGGAGCCGGGAGGCACACACAGGGCCCAGGGGGGCTGCTGCTCTGTCTCCAGAGCAGACCTGGATGGGGCGCGTTAACAGTCAGACCTTCCACGGAAGGACAAGGCTGTGCTGTTAGCTGAGAGCTGCTTGTCCGGTTGAGGGCATTCTTGCTTGCTAGAGGCTAATTTGAAAGTTATCTGCTCAAATAAGCTGTCAGCGGGTCCCCTAAAAGCTGAGCCCAAAAAGAAGATCCAAGATAAGGAGTAAAACCATATATATTAATTGTCTTTGAAAGTAATGAAAAGATCTCATTTTTCCTAAGTTTGCTGACTTGGCTAAGATTGTGTGGGAATTCCAAGGGATACACAGCTTTCTACCGATTCACTCACCCACCCTCTCCCTCCTTCCTCTCTCTGGTCCAGTAGATTCCTCTGGCATCTCAAGCAGAACAGTTCTGTGTACCCCCAGGCTAGCCCCCTGCAGATTCTGATTCTACCCCAGATAGTCCTGTCAAGTCAGTTTTTCAGGACCAGTTAAGATCACATTTTTAATCCAGCTCAACTGTGTATCTTCCTGTGTGCTATAATGAAGTTGCAGGTTGATTTTAATCCTTGTAATTAGACCATAAAGACGTGTTATTTTGTCATACTGCATCAGGGTTCTCTGTTTCCTTCCCGCATTCATTTCACCACCTGGAAGCCAAAGGCCAAGGTTAGGACTACCCCGCTCACCCCTCAGTAAACAGTGACTCCCCTAGCCATCGCCCTGCCTTGCCCCATAGTAAATGCTTGTTATCCCATCCAGAGACCCTGCAGCTTTGACCTTCTGGCTTCTTGGTGCTGCTGGAGTTGTTGGCTGTTGTCATAGTGAAGGGCAGTTAATGCGGTCTTGGGTTTGGGTTTTGGTGGGAGCTGAAGGGAACCCTGAGAACTGAGTGCCTTCCTGTTTCCACAGAATTGCAGTAGTAGGTTGTTTGCTCTTGGCTCCAAGTGTGCCCTCTCTAGCTGGCGGTTTTCTCCATGATGGTTCTGTAACATCCCCCAAGATGCAGCCTGACACCCTCCACTCCCGAAGCTTCTGCGACTGGGCTTCATATACACAGTATCCACGCTCAGTCTGAGTTGGTCAGTCGCAGAGGAAGGCAGCAACCCTGTAAGCCTGAACCCTGTAAGCCCTTCCAACTCTTCATTATCGACCTACTGTCTGCATTTTCCACTAGCTATCTTTGTATCACAGTCTAACAAAGGACTCACATTATTGGTTTATTTGAAGAAATTTTTCCCGTTGTTTGGGAACTGACATCACTTGTGTAACTCACGAGGCGGGCATGTAGTCTGTCTGTGATTGAATGCCAGTGAGTGGCAGAGAAAAGATATTGATGGGTGCAAACCAGATGGCTCTGGTCTCCCATTCATCAGAAAGCAACAGATGTCAGCCCCCACATGGGGCCCTTCTAGCCAGCACTGTCGCTGTGTCATCTCACTAGCAGAAAGGACCTGCGGGGTTAGAAAGTACAACTCCAAGGCTAAGCCCAGGTCTGCGAGGGGGATACACTATTTCAGTACTAGCTGTGCTTTGACCTGCAAGCAGCACAACGCCTCTCAGCCGGAGAACGACTAGGTTGGCCAAAGAGTTCGTTCGGGTTTTTGGCCAATCCAAATACAAATCTGAACTAGGAATCCCAGGCATTTTGTTTTTGACTGATTGCTTGTTTCACAGAAGGACTTAAAACCCAGAGCTTAATACATGGTGGACACACAAATGTTTGTGGAAGAAAAGAGAAGTAATAGGTGTCAGAGCTCTTTCATCTAAATCAAGCGATGTGTTTTAGGACCTGTCGTTTCTCTCGCAAAGCAGGCTTTTTTGAGTTTTGTGTCTTATTGGTGCTTTGGGCCCATTATCTACTGTTCCCACTGGTGGACACAAGCTCCAGTCACAGGGAACAGACACAGAGAAATTACACAGAAGATTTCAAAACATTCTGGGAACCAGGAAGATCCGATTCAATTTGGATGCCAGCAAAACTTGCTCTCAGAGATGCTGGGAGAGAAGAACAAAGCTACACAGTGTATTATATCACCTTAGCTGCTTAAGAACTAGGTACCAGGGAGTGAGACCATTGTAAACCATTGGTTAGCGTCCAGAGAAAGGTGAGGGAGGGGGAAGAGGATGCAACCTTGCTGAGCCTGGGGCCCAGGCTGTCCAGGGGAGCCATCTATGGGGAAGTGGCCCACCAATGCATGGGGCCAGCATGGGGGTGCCACCACTTCTAAATGGACTTCTTTGTTTCCAGGCAACGTCCTGCCCTCGGAGAATGCCTGGCCTCACTGGCAGGTGGCATACC